GAAAAAGGAAAAGCCTATGAAAAAGAAGAAAAAGAAAGAGATAATAGATCTAAGATTCAGACTGCTTTGGTGACATCTTTCAAGTCTTTTTTGCCAAGAAAAATAGAAATTTCTTTTAAATTTCTTTACATGATATTTAAGCATTGAACAGGAAAGACAAATTAAAATTACTGAGCTATTTTTCCTTCACCCGTGATTATGCAGCAATTTATCAACAAAATGGAACAAGAACATCTGACTAAGATTATTTATTATACAGTAAGGCATTTACTTTTTGTTCACCAGGAACAGTGTCCCTGTTATGGCTAGTTAGCCATCTGTGTCCTAAGAGCTTTCAGGGAAGGATTAAACTGTCATTTGTTTTATTTCCTTTCATGAAATAACTATCCTAACAGGGCTGAGGCAAGACTTGGGTATTGCTGGACTCGCTACCTTAAGGTGGCATGAAAGAGAGTAACTGGATCTTCCCTGGAGCTAAAGCAAAGCAATGAAAAGTTTGGGGGTTTGCTTTTGTTCTTTGTGCTCCTTACACTCAGTAGCATGCAATATCGCTACTGAAGTGGAATTGTCTGTGGATTTTTTTTTTTTAAATCTGATTCATTCACTACATTTAGTCAATATGGCTTGGGTTTAAGCACTGAGAGAATCTGCAGCTGATCAGGGCTAGAAGCAGGAGGCTGGCAAAAATAAACAAAGGAGGAAGAGGTATGCCATGTCCTCCAGGTGGTGAGGGTTTACCAGCACTCACCCATCGAATTGCTACCACACACACAAGGCTGGCACCGTTCTCGCAAGGATGACTGAGGCATGTGGCATCCCTTCCCCATCTACTCCACATGTAGGTCTAAAAGCTTCTAGCACTTTTTCCCTGGAAGGAATGAACAAAATAAGCCTCCTGATTCAGAGAAAGATAATCTGTGCCCTCAGTAAGAGCAAACATGTGGGAAAACTATTTGCGAGAAGAATGTACCTTGCAGCTATTGCCAAAGGTTTTGACGGGTGTATCTGTGCTTTGGATAGCTTTATGGCTGCGCAATGGAAATTGCTCATAATCAACGATAACATCTACGTTTCTCTAACACCTTTTGTCCAGAAATCAAAAGCACTTTTCAAAGAAAGGGCCAGATTTTGAATGCTTGATGCTAGCAGCTCCTCATGTCACACTTTTATGGACTAATTTTTTTTTTTTTAAACAGCTTGGTAGCCAAAGCTCTCTGGCACTCACTATGCTTCAAGTGACAACGGAGCTCTCTCAAAAACTGTGACCCACACAGCATTTCAGTGCTGACATGCAACTGCGTCTGGGGTGGAAGAGACACACCCTGGAGCGGCTGGCACCAGCGCTATGCTGAACCTGGAAAGGGACAGTTTAGCCAAGGAGGGCAAGCCTGCTCTGACAACAGGTGCCAAGCATTTGTAAGATCAGATAATGGCTTTTCTTCATTGCCAATGGCCTTGGCTTCAAGGACCATACATAATATTGCAGTGAATTCCATCTATCACCTTTGATAGACAGAAAGAGCTGATCTGTCTTGAGGGAGTGGGAGTTAAAGAACCAGGTATCCCCTATGAGCCATCAACTACAGCTCTGGAGCCTGCTCCGGCAGGAGCCGTTCCGACACAGAAAACAGCAGTATTGCAGGAGACTTAAAATACTGACATCTATAGGATGTTAAACATTTGCAACAGTTAACAATAAGAAGAAAACCACAAATAATATCCATTCTTCCCTAAAATTTCCTACATTGACTGGTTCACAGCAAGAACTAGTTCCGCTTTTCTGCCCATCATGGTTCATGTGCTATTTACTGCAGTACAATGCCAGGGATGATGGGGAAGAAGCACTTGCAGCAAATTAATGGGATACACAGAGATACCAGTGGGGATGGACAGAGCTCTGCAAGGATTGCAGCCCTCAAGCCCTGCCCCATGCTGCCTGTTGAGGGTGGGAAGGGGACAGGCTCTCCTCCAGGTAGCAAGGAGGCTGCAGCCCACTACCACCCCTGCTCACCACTGGCATAACATTTGCAAGTCAGCTGCTTCCCATCAGCATGCCTCTTGCTGGGAGGGCCAATGGGGGGCTCATGCAGACCATTGCTGCTTTGGCGGGACTGTGAGCAATGAAACAGTGACTCCTCGCATCTATCCCTGGGAAACCATGGAAAGTTGTTGCAAGTCTAACCATGTACACACAGGCCCCTCCAATTCAGCTGTTACTACATGGATTTCACCAACGACTCCAGCGCGACAGCACAGTACCTCCTGCCCAAATTTTCAAAAGCTGCTCTGCTTTCTAATTCCTGTTATGTTTGTGGCATACTTGAAGTAACCTGGTCAGAAGCTGAGGGACTACAAATCCACAGAGCTGTGACCAGGCTCCCATACCTATAGGAACATCTAATTCTCTTGAGCAGTTCCCAGGCAAACAAAAGCCGAAGAAGCACAAGGACACCAATGGGAGACTATTTTCTTAGCAGGAACACAATTATAATATACGTAGAGTGCCTTCATTTACCTCCCCAAATTAAAATAATCTTTTTCTTATGCTCTTACCTAAGAATGAGACCAGAATGTGATCCACTGCTTCTGACTCCATTTACTGGCCAGAAAGAGGCTGCAACGAGCTAAGAGACAAGTCCCCCAGTGCACGAATGGTCAAAGGTCAGAGCGTGTACTCACACGGCTGCTACAGGACAGGGCAGAGGCTTGCAGGGGGCACGTCTCTGTGGAAGACCTGTGGATTCAGGGCTATGGGACAACTCCACAGACTGTTACAATGCATAGCAGCTCCTATAGCTCTGCTGGCTTTCTCTTCTTGGCCTGCAGAGCTTGCATGGCAGTGGTCAGAGGACCACAGAGCGCAAGAGCAGCCTAATTCACCCTCAAGCAATTTTTCTGTTGTTTGGTTTTGTTTTTTTTTTTTTTTTACACTTTTAGTCTTTCACTTCCCTAACATCCCACTACCATACTGTCAGCAGGGGATCCAAATATAAAGCTGCACTAAGATTTGGAGTTACAGTAGAGACTGCAATTCTCAGTTATACAGAAAAAACATTTGGCTATCTGCTTTGGACTGAAACCCCCTCTTTTTAGAGAGGATTGGGGTTTCCAAGTTGTTAGGTGCAATACCTAGGGATACGAAATAGTTAAAATAATTTCTTTTTTAACTGCTACTTTGCTTTTAGCTTTCTGTGTCACAGAACTCTAAAATAGACAAAGGTGTTTTATTTCATTAGGGAAACAAGACAATTCCTAGTATTTTTGCTATGACGTTTGCTCAGGGGAAGCTGAGAGAAGATGAAAACACTTTCTGTGAAGCAGCTGGCTTAACACGGGCAGGGACAACATCAGAATTTTATTTCTTTTGCTGACTTAGCCAGCAGTGAGTCCCTTGGTCTGCTTCTCTCCTATCCCTCTGTGCTACTGGGAATCTGCTAAGACATACCTGTGGGAGGTTTGGGCTTTTAAATCTGTGCCTTAAATGTCCCAACAGTTCCCTAACTTGCAGAAAGTTTATTCCTATCAGGTCCTTAACCTCAGTTTTCTTGGGAAAATCACTGCAAGTATCTCCCTTCAAAAGCCTACTACAGAACATGTCTAAGATCTGAAGAGGTTCCCCCCACGAAAATTAAGTGGTCTCCACAAGATTGAGATTTTTAGATTTAAAATTCTCATGTTTAGGTTGAAATTACAAGCTAATAACAACAATCATATCATTAAGTCTGGATGAACGGTTTTGAATCACGGGAAAACTAAATTCTAAAATAAAAATCTCAAAGGTTTGAGCCCCTCCATCTCACACTCCCACGTCTTCTCCCTCTCCCTGTACTTCTGCAGACACAGGAAAGAAAGAGCTGAAAAAAAGCAAGGGAGAAAATTTTCTCTCCAAAATGCAAGCAAAACAGTAACAGATTTCAATTATAACAAGAAATTTATTTTCTGCACAAAACACAATTTGCTCTTTCAACAGGCTCCAGCTGTAGTAGGCTGAGAGTAAAGGTGTAACACATGAAGGCAAATATGGCTTATACTTTAGGAATGGCTGTGATTTTTATGGATTGCATTGATGAGAAATGCATTTGCACACTCTGAACTGCCAGTAACATTTTTGTTGTGGGATACACTTTGAATAATTCCTTTGCAAAAAGCATGGCCATATATTTTTTTAGAAATGGAAAGTCATGCTGGAAGACCCAAGCTTCTAAATGAATGGTGTTTCTATAAATAAAGGTGGTATAAATGCAACATACTGATTCTCCAATCCATCATCCTTTAAGCTAAAATACATCATTCCTCTCTAACTTCAATCCCCAGCCATGCCATCCTCTTAATTATAAATGGTCTGACACTTATCAAACCATTCTCTGTGTACTACACAATCCTCACCCTTAATTGCACAAATATTTTATTTTTGGAACAACACAGCTCAGAAACAAGCTTCATTTTTCTTTTCACGACTCAGTCTCTATTAAAGTAAAGCATTTATAAAAGCTCTGAGCGCATGAAGAGAAAATTAGTTGCTCCTCCGTGGCTAACAGTTTTTAGCTCATCACAATGCAGCTCCACATCACTCCGAGCAGAGCAGTGATTAAAACTGCGCCTGCAACAAAGCAACATTGTATACAGCGATGACGTGCTCCAGTCAAAAACGTCTCCCCTCTTGTTATGATTGGTATTCCCCAGATGTTTGACTTTGAGCTCTAGCTTGGCAGGCGAGGCTTTGTGGCTGCAATTCAAGTCCCAAGCTTGAGCAGCTCCAGTGTTTATTCTCATAATTTACACTTTGTGATGGCTTATGGACAGTTATGTACTTGGTTTCATAGCCACCACTTCAAACCAAGGGTCTGATCCTGCCTTTATGGAGTTAGTAGTAAATGCTTCCCAATTCCAGCACTGGCAGGAGGCCCCGGATGACTAAGCCATCTCTCAAAGCAAACAAGCCAATATAAAAGAACAATTTGGTTTAAAAACAATTTAAAAATGCCTGAAATCTTACTTACTAGGAAGTCTTCTTCACAGTACACCTTGCCATTGACGTTGTAGAATGCTTTTCCTCGTAGTCTTCTCCCTGTTAAAATACGGTGCCATCAGAATTTTGTGCACTGTCCCCAGATCCAGTCGTTCAGGATGGAAAGCGAAAAGCACACCCTGCTGCGCCTGTCTGCATGGCCAGTTCCTGGCTCCTCTCCTCCCTGGAGGGTCCATCCAGAGACGTGGGTGAGGGTTAGGCTTTCAGTTCCACGCTGCCATATTACAAATTCCTTGTCAACTAAATGTTGCTTCTAAGTGGAGGTTATGGAACCCAGCTGAAACCAGTTCCTGGAAAATTGAAATCTAAACCCAAAAATTATTCTTGGGGGAAAGGCTCATTTGTAAATCGAGACAATTTTCTTAGCAGGTGAAATCACAGCAGGCATACATCCGCTGCAGTCAACATCAGCAAAGTCTTTGTCTCCAAAGGACCAAACAAGGAATACTGCATATGTATGTTCCTGTCACCTTTAAAATTACTAATACATTAATCAATGCCACAGCAACTACACCCACAGCTCCCTGTGATACTAAAGCAGAACAAGGCACACGTGATGGAGGGAAGGGCAGAAAAATCACATTGAAAACATGAGATTTAATTTTCAAGTTTGAACATTTGCCATTTCATTAGCACTTGCAGAACTCTATTAACAAAGCCTGTGATCATCGTTAACTAATGGCTCCCTTTACAGCCAAGAAATGTGCAACAAACTCCAGAGAGTCCCAACAAAAAGGATTAGAACCAGGAATTCAAAAACCACCAAGCCCAACCAGTTTTTAGATACAGCAGATCAGATTTGTTTTACACCGGAGCTGCTCCACTGAAAGCAACACCATTTTATCAGTGTAAAACCAGAGAGGAAGAAGGGAAACTGCACTCATCCCGACTCACCTGATTTCCACTCTGTGCCAGAGTCCCACTGGCCAAAGCTCCCAAACATTTGTGTGCTCTTGCAAGCCATTTGCAGCCTTGGCAAGCAGATGGCATGGTGCCTCTTAGGGGCTGCGTACCAGCTGCTGTTAGCAGTGACACAGAGCAAGGAAGAGGGCAAGAGGCTCTGTATTTACAGGTCAACAGATGACCCTCCCAGATCACTGCCGAAGCTTTTACTCCACAGAATAAGCTTGGATATCTACCGAGGCAGAGTAGTAGCTCCACCATAAACACCGCCCATCTTTGCAGAGGGTTTGACTCCAAGGGCCAGCAAGCTGAGCCAGCTGGCCAGGCACCGAGGGGCAGGAGTGCTCTCCACGGTTTCCATAAACAACGTTGAGGAAAATATGATTAATTTTCAGTGCTTGAAAGTGCCTTTTACACGTTGCCACTGTGATCCGATCCTGGGAAACAGTGTGTGGCACAAAGGAGTTGGGATCTGGGCTGATGCTTTTGGGAAATCACATGCTGCATGTGGTTGTCTGGCGGTTTTACTGTCGTGGCCGAGGGAAATGCTTCTTTTGTGTGCACATTCTTGGGCTGTCGATCTCACGGGCTGCTGTCTCCATACTGCTGGTAGGTGGAGTCAGCTCTTGTTTGTCTTTCCAGCTGCCTGGTAGCTCTGGTGGGGACCAGAAGCCTGGTGGTATGGGCAATACACTGGGACTGCTCCATCTCCTCTGGGACTCTTAGGTAAAACTGGTCCGTCCTACACATCATCGAAAGAAGGCACAGGGCTGGTACAGCAATCAGGGGGTCACAGGGCTTCTTTCAACTGATGGAGGAGCTACTGCCTCTACATCTTCCCTCCTGTTTATCCAAGCTGTTTTTAAACCTCTCCAGCAAAAGGTATAGGAAAGGTAAATAGAAGGGAGGGAAGACAAGGGAAGAGGCCAGAATGGCTTTTTAAAGGACATATTGGCTCTGCCAGACCCAGCCTTGATACACGACTTGTCTTTAGATGGTGAAAACGATGTGGCTGCAACCAGAACAGGGACTTGCCTTGGACGTGCTGATGCAGCACTTCCACCTTGCTCACATGCACCACTGGTGCAGAGCCTGGGCGTTTGTTTCAGGTGGAGAAGCGCTGGCCATCACCCTCGCCACACACCCACTGCGGTTAGAAGCAGCAGAGATAATTAGGGACAAATCCTGAACTCCGTTGCTGGAAGGATCTCTACAGGAAAGGAACGCCCCAATTTGGGGAGGCATCAGCAGCTCCCAAGGCACTGCAGAGGCTGCACCAGGACCTGTACATCCTGCTTTGTATCAGTGTGCAGAGCCTGGCAGCACTCAGGTTGATAGAAACGCCGCAAGTTCTGCTCCTGCTGTTTCCTTAGAACAGCATCACTGGCAGAAGCCAACGGGCTCAGAGATTTCCTGGACTGGGAAAGAAGTGGGAAGCCTATGACCCAAAGCAAACAAGGCAAAACCAATGTTTTGGACTGGCTCTCAAAGACGCTTATGTTATCAGTTGTGTTTGGCAGCTGATTGCCCTGCGACGTGAAACAACCTCACCTCACCCCAGCGCAGCAAAGCTGCGAGCCTCCATCTCAGCCACTGTACAACTTGTGAGCCCCTGCTCACACCCCGCTCTGCAAGCCCCCTCGCCTGCCAAACACAGACAGCTGGCCTCCCCTTCCATATAGCTGACATGATAAAAACATCTCTGTTTTACACAGCACTTACAGAGCAACACCTTTCAAAACTGAGGAAGAATACCATTTTCCTCACTTCACAGCTGAAAAAAGCAAGCCACCTATTAAGGAACTGACTTGCCTAAACTCATAAAGCAGGCAAGCAGCTTGCTCACATGATAATTACTGTTATTAGAAATAATTAATAAGATTGACAGGCCGTGTACCTTAGAAGAATTTCATTCAGGGATGATACAATAATTACCTCATAAACAAGAAACAGCAAGTTATCACACAAATAGCTGTGGCTGCATTGTATTGGTTTCTACATAGTACGTTTTAGAAATAAAGGCAAAAACATATGTTCCATTTGCCCTATAGAAGAGTTTGCTAAATGACAGCACTGAACACGGTCAAACACCAAACTCTGAGAGTAGCTGGTGGCAGTTGTGGCCAGGGAGACACAAAGCCCAGGGAGATGCAGCGTTGGTAGCTCCCATCCCCAGGGCAGCCGCACAGCAGGGTGGGTGCAACGCCTTGAGGTTAGAGTACCTGCCCTGAGCTCGATGTACTGGACAAGGCGGTTTCACCTCTCATAGTCCTGGAGTAACTTGGGGGCTTGCACAGTACCAGCCTGCTCTGTGTTGCCGTAACCTATTATTGTCAGTCAGGCAGAGATTACAAGTCAAAAAAAACCTGATGTTGCTTTAGCCAGCTGAGTCAAACACCTGGCCAGCTAGACAAGGTAATATCCTGCCCACTGGTACGCAGAACCTGCTGCTGGGCTTTCCTTTGAATGAGTGAGTATAGCCAAGCCTGGGTTACTATTTGCTTTCATAATATTGAAACAAAAAAGACAAGAGTTTCTGACAAAACTTGATGCAACTTGCTGATAGCTCATTATAATAATAATGAGCAGTTATAATGAGCAGCCTAGCACAGAGTTCACAAGTACGGGGTTTCACAAACACCATGCTTCTTTCCTCCTTCTGCTGGATACCCACCTTGGCACGTCTGCCCTGACAGACCAGTTTTCAACAGTGTCGAGGAAGAGGCTCTGCTTCACACCAGACCAGAAAAGCAGCAGGTCGGCCAGGAACGCGAGGGGGACACGACAGGACAGGGCAGAAGCTGCCCAGCCTGCAGCCCGCACACAGGCACGTAACACTAGCTTTTATAGGGAAGCCCCCCCCCCCCACCCCCCACCCGCGAGTACTCCTTGGAGCCTTGTTTTACTGTAGATAATGAAGCTTATGCACTCATGGTGACAACGAATGCTTGTTGCAAATAACTTTTACATTTCTTGACTGACATCCACACGTTCAGGGGTAGCAAGCGCCAGGATAAGCGTGTTCCACCACCTGAGGTGGGAGGCAGAGACCTCGCAAATGCTCCAGCAGAGCGCAAAGTTTCAGGTAGACAATCTAGCAGTTAATAAAATGCAAGCTAGAAATTACTCTATCCCAAGGAATGATCACAACTGGTATTTGCAACCAACATGACAAACATCCAAAAGAAAGCGGGCTTTTGGAACTGTTAAAAAAATATACAAAATCAGAATCAGCTCTAGGTTTTTAACATCACTTTTCACATTTAACCACTTTACGAGTCTCTGGTATTTAAATGTGTCTAGCACTGACTTCCTGCACAATTTTTCTCCCCTATGTGTTGCCAAGTAAAAGGAAAGAATGGGAGAGCTGTCACTTTAGCAAAGGACTCAACTCAAAAGATTAGGCTTGCAAAAGGAAAAATGACCCACAGTTGACACACGCTGTCCACAACTATTCTCTCCAGTCTCCACAACACTTTGCTAGGTGGTGAAAACACACCAGCCAGGAAGCCAAGATGGGGTAAAACTTTTTCCAACTCTGTTTCAAAAGCTGCTCCAGGCCCTCATGGAACAAAATGGGAATCAGACTGGGTTTTACAGTCTTGAGGAAGTGCTCCGAAGGAGCACTGAAAATGTCCTGTCCCCTCCCCACTAGCCCAGAATGCATCTTCAAAGCCCTCCCTGCTGCTAGGAGCAGTGGGATATTTGCCTATAGGGAGGTGAGTTTATCAAGTTGCAGCCTTCAGTGGTAGATCTCTAGTCTCACATGGGATGACGCAACCGCGTCAGGGGCTAACACCCCCCCTCGCCTTTGTAAGAGAAGAGATAGCAATGTCTCACTGTCACAGCATGGTTATTAGACCTAATTACTGTTTGCAGAGGGCTTTGAAGTTTAAAAGTGCCAAGCATTATTATAATATTTTAAGTACTTTGATGATTAAAAACACACAACCATTGGGTAATAATCATGATTTACTAGTACTGTAGTGTAAGCAAGTTCATGTGAGAAGCCTGCATTGTCTCAGTGCCTGACGCTACTTAAAAACAAACAGCTCCCCTCTGACATAATGGGAATGCAGCAGACCCAGCCTTGCCTCCCAGATAACGCCTGGTGTGTCCTGAGACTACCAGTATGC